ATGAGTGGATCCAAAAATTGTGGTATCTATATACAATGGAATATTATGCAGCCATTAGAAAGGACAAAATAATGGCATTTGCAGAGAAATGAATGGAGCTAGAGCAGATTATTTTGAGCCAAGTAAGCCAAGAACAGAGACAAATGGCACATGGTCTTCCTGCTAGGTGGAGGCTGGCTGAGGACAGTGGTTCAAAGCCAGCCTGGGCAGGAAAGTCTGTGACTCTTATCTCCAATTGACCACCAGAAAACCAGAAGTGGCACTGTGACTAAAGAGGTAGAGCGCTTATCTTGAGCTGAAGGGCTCAGACAGTACCCAGGCCCATAGTTCAAGCCCTACAAACAACCAAAAAAAAAAAAAATCCAAACCCATGTTTCAACCTCTTTCAATATACCTGCTTCACAGGTCATCTCTCAAATCTGTAAGAGGAGTGACTGTAACATTTACAGGCAAAAAATTAAAGAAATTATCTGCAAAAAGTAAGAAAGACCAAGGTGAAATCCTATGGGTACAGATTAAGACAAATATTGAGACTGACACCCTGCAGTGTAGGCTCTACTGTGCCACTAATATAGGCAAAGTAAAGGTGCCTGTATCCCTATTTAAGCATTTTGTTTTTTCCCTTCCCCTCCCCAAACTGGAGAAGTGTATATACAAGACGCAGGGCACCGACATCAAATACAGTGAAAACGGGTTATTCCATGGGGGAGGAACACAGAGAAACAAAAAAATCACATGGTACATAAATATGTTAGGAACAATAGCAAGAAAGAAAAAACCACTTGTGTTCCTATCTTGGGGTTTATTTTGCCTAACATCATCTTATCTGGCCATATGTACATAGCTTTGGACCTTCTCTGCTTGTCCCAGATATATACTAGTTGTTGCAAATAAGGGAAACCATAGGACCTATGTTTCTTTGGGCCTGGCTTACTTCACTTAATATAATTTTTTCCAAGTCTTTCCATTTCTTAACAAATGGGGCAATGTCATTCTTTCTGTTGGAGGCATAGAATTCCATTGTGTATATATACCACATTTTCTTGATCCATTCATCTACTGAGGGGCATCTGGGTTGGTTCCATATCTTAGCTATGGTAAACAGTGCTGCAATAAACATAGTTGTACTGATAGCTTTAGTCTGGCCTTGTTTGTGATCATTTGGGTAAATGCCCAAAAGTGGGATTGCTGGGTCATAGGGGAGCTCTATGTGGAGTCTTTTAGGAACCTCCATACTGCTTTCCAAAGTGGTTGAACAAGTTTACACTCCCACCAACAATGTAGTAGGGTTCCCTTCTGGCCACATCCCCTCCAGCATCTGTTGTTATTAGATTTCTTGAAGATAGCCATTCTAACTGGGGTGAGGTGGAATCTCAATGTTGCTTTGATTTGTTTTTCTTTTATGGCTAAAGAGGTTGAGCATGTCTATTGTCCATTCTTATTTCCTCTTCAGAGAAGTTTCTCTTGAGATGTACAAGACACTATGTTGAAAAATGAACTTTACAATTTAGGTGTGTGTGTGTGGTGGGGAGAGTATAGTTGTAGAGGTGGGAGGGAAGGGAGGATAGGGGGAAAACAAAGGAGGAGGTAACAATGCTTGATAGGAAATGTGCTCATTACCTTGCTCATGTAACTGTAACCCATCTGTACAGTATTTTTACAATAAAAAAAATTTAAAAAATAAAAGAAGAAGAAAAGAAGCCTGATTCCTGAAAGTCTCTACAAAAGCTTATGCATAGCTAATGTGTTCTGAGGGCAAGCACAAAGTCTGATCATTCCAGGAGATCAATGAGTAAAAGCTGTGAACAATTTAAATCATAAACATAAAACATGGGATCTTGCAGTTAACACAGCGCTCATCCTACAGGGCAAGAGAGAAATGATCAAGATGTTGTAGCCCAACTGTAGCTCCCTAACTTTTCTATTGAAGAAGCTAGGAGGAGACAGGAGAACCACAGAACTGCATCTGTTCAATGTTTATAACAAAACTGCCAACTCTTTGTAATAACAAATCTGTTACTCTGCAACTATGCTGAAGCTAGGATTTTGAGCACCCACAAGAATTATATAAAATGTGAGGAGAAAATTATCCTCTTGGCAAAGCAACATACCTTCTTCTGATTTCCACATTCTAAATGTTCAAAGCCAGTCTTTGGGAGCTCTTCTTTAGGGTACAAAGTTCATCACAGAAATGTGTGTTCTAACATACATTTTTCTAAGCCCACATCGAAGCTCACACAAAAAATATGATGACTAGTCAATCAACTGAAAAATGTACCACTTTTGTCTCTGCTTTTCTTCTTCTTCCCTCCTCCTCCTCCTTTCCTCTCCCCCTCCCCCTCCTCCCCCTCCCCCTCCCCCTCCCCCTCCTCCTCCACTTCCTCTTCCTCCCATACACCAGTCCTGGGGCTTAAATGGAAGTCCTGAACACTGTCCCAGAGCTTTTTGGCTCAAGGTTGAAACTCTACCACTTGAGCCACAGTTCAGTTCTACTCCTGAATTTTGGGTAGTTAATTTGAGATAAGAGTGTCAGAGGCTTGCCTGCCTGGGCTGGCTTCAAACTATAATCCTTAGATATCTGCCTCCTGAGTAGCTATGATTACAAGTATGAGTCTCTTCTTTAAGTGTGTGTGTGTGTGTGTGTGTGTGTGTGTGTGTGTGCCAGTATACCATAATCATTAGACATGTTTGAAAGGAAAAAAATGTGTCAAGTCTGAAATCTTCATTAAGAAAAACAGATGTTCAAGCCTGTCATTCGTAATTTATGCCTATAATCCTAATCTACTCAAGAGGCTAAAATCTGAGAATCACAGTTTAGAGCCAGGCCATGCAGACAAATGTAAAAGACTCCTCTCCAATTAGCCAGCAAAAAGCTGGAAGGGAAGGCATGGCTCAACTAGTACAGCACCAACTGTGAGAGGAAAACAAGCAATAGGCCCTGAGTTCAAATCCAGTATTGGCACAGACGCAAAAATACATAAAAACAATATTTAGAAGAATATTTAGAAAATATTCTTAGCCGAAAATAACCAGATTGTTTTTCACCCTATACCATTTTTCATCACACTAGCATGGATATGACACAGGGAAGAACTTACAAATTAGTGCAAGAGACTTAAGAGCCTTAACAAACTACTTGACTTTTTTTATTTTGTATTTTTAGTACCCAGTTAATTACTAGGTATACACACACACACACACACACACACATATATATACTAGATATATAAGTATATATATATATATATATATATGTAGATATGGAAGTGGGCAAGGTATAGATTAATAAAATTACTTGTAATAGACGTGGTACATGAATATGTATTCACATATTCACATACAGATACATGAAGAAATGCACATATGTTTACTTTCAACATCTGTAATGTTCCTAGTGGGAAGAAAACGATTCCTTAGACCTAAGAACTAAAAGTTCTTGGGCAGATGCCTTAAGGATCTGGTGGGAGGATTTTAGGTGGCATCCTAGTGTACTAATAACATGACTTCTGAAGATTGACCTTTGGCACTAGTAGAGTTGCCAAGATGACTTCACGATTCCTTCCTCAAGTCTCCCAACCCCACAAAGATCAAAAAGTGGGAAATTAAGGAAACTGTTTGTGTGCCTGTACTGGGGCCTGAACTGAAAACTCAGCACTTCATGCAGTCCCCTCAGGTTTTTGCTTGAGGTTGATGCTCTACCTGTGAGAGACACAGCTAGCTCCACTTCAGGCTTTTCGGTAGTTAATTGGAGATAAGAGTCTCGTGGACTTTTCCGCTGGAGCTGGCTTTGAATCAAGATCTGCAGATCTCAGCCTCCTGAGTAGCTGGTACTACAGGTGTGAGCCACCAGTGCCCAAAGGAAACTTTTTTGATGCAAATCCACAGCAGACCAGGTCATTTTTGTACAAAACCTTCCTGTTCAAGTGACTGAGGCCTACTGTGGAACCTCCACTATTTTAAACAAGTAGAAAACGCTGTTGTTTGTGGTCATTTTCTTCCAAAGATCTGACGAGAGATCATCTCCCACAACCAGCTCAACGCTGTAAAAACACAAAAGGTCTAAGAGAGGCCAAACGACTGGCCTAAGAGCTCACGGCAAGTCTATAAATGCCTAAGCCTAAACACATCCGGAAAAACAAGTATTCTCAGACGCTGCCTTCGCCCCATTGTCCTAGGCAGAGGTCAACGTTTGCGAACGACAGAGAAAACAACTGCGGATTGCAGATTGAGAAAGGATAGGAAGTGGTTATTAGCAAATCCCTGGGCCGGGATTGGGAGGGGGATCACCTGCTTTCCTGCCTCAAACCAGTGCGACTAGCCTTTCCTAAGCACATCAAGGGCGGGTGGGCCATTGTTTTCAGAACCAGCTGTGAAGACTGCGCGCAGCCAGTGGCCTTGGAACAGCTGCAGCTGCCGCCTCCCGGGGGAGGGGGAGCGGCCTGGGGAGGTAGGGGGAGCTCGGCGCGCAGGGCGGCAAAGGGGAAGACCCCGCCGCGCCCCCTCCCGGCAAACGGGGAAGCACGAATACAGTGGATGCCGCGGACTGGGGCCTCCTTCTGCACCCACGGAAAGTGCAAACGGCTCGCCCCAGGCTCCAGACGGGGCGCAGGGATGACCCGCCTTCACCAAAGGCCGACGCCTTCCCCACCCCTACCCGCTGGGAGGCTGCGACTGCCAGCCTCCGCCGGCAGAAGTGCGCGCCACCACCCGGTACAGCAACCGGGAAAAGCGGTGGCCATCGGTGACCGAGCAAAATCCGTGGTAAATAAGCTCAGTCCAGCTTGCGTCCTTTCCTCCCCTCTTCCTCCTCCCCTTTATTCCCCCCCCCTCCCCAACACACTGCGCGCCCCATCTCCCAGCCCGCATTTCCCACGCGCGCCCCGCGCGCTCCGCCCCGCGGCCCTGGTCTCCCCACCTCCGACCTGGTCCTCCGATCGCCCCATCTTTCAGCCTGACCCCATCCCCGCCCTAACCCCGGCGGCTCAGAACATCACACTCACCATCTCTTGGCGAAGGAGGTGAAGCTTGGTTTCCAGCCTCTCCAAGGTGCCGGAGTGGCTACGTCGTGGGGAGCTAGAGGTTGGGGAGGACGAGGAGGAGGAGGAAGACGAGGAAGGGGGGAAGCTGCAGTTGCTACTGCTATTGCTACTGCCGCAGCCGTCGCCGCCTCCGCCGCAGCCGCCCCCGCGGGGGTCCCGGTCCCTCTCCCCGGGAACCGGCTCCTCCCCACGGAGGGAGCGCGCCAGGCTCTCGGGTACTTTGCGCCCCAGCTTCAGTTCGATGTCTCTGAGGTCCGGCAGCGGGCCGTCTTCCATGACTTTCTTCAAGATCGGTGATAAGGATGATAATACACGTAGGAGCCGAGGAGAGGCAGCCAAGGCCTCCAAGGCGGCCGCGAGATCACCAGACCCTCGGTCCCCACCTTCCCTCCCGGGGCCGGGTCTCTTATCCTCCGCGCACCCCGGGCGCCGTCCGCCCCATAGCTGCTAACGCAGTGTCCGGCCCTGGGATCCGTACTGGCGGCAGTCGGGCTCCGCCGCAGCCACCCCGGCCTCTGCGACGTTGTCTCCAACACTTGCTAAAACCACTCAGGTCGCTTCTTTCTCCTCCTCCTCCTCCTCCTCGTTCTCCACCTCCTTCTTTTCGGCCCGTTCCACTGCAAAGTTGAGTTAATTGATGTTGCCAGAAGGATTTATGGAGGGAATGGGGAAGGGGTGGAGGAGGCAAGTATCTTTATACCAAAAGAAAAGCGAAGGGAATCAAGCCTGCTTCAGCATTCTAAGAGGGAGGGAAAAATCATACTTAAAACTGACCATTCACATCCCTGAGCCATTCACTGAGCGTCCATCTGGTAGCTTGCGACATGAAAGAAAGCTGTGGCCACACTCTCCGGTCGTTTCATTTTCCAGTCATATGTCTCCAGGCGTTTGGGATATCCTGGGTTGTCAGAAATAATCTCTGGTTAGGGAAGAGGAGATTGGTCGATCGGTTAGGTTTGGAGGCCGCATGGACCCATCAAAAAAATAAAAAATAAGAAAGAGAGAGAGATGGTAATCTTGGCAGAAGTTTAACGGCTTCCTGGGGGCAGAATAAACACCCTCCTTCTCATTTAGACTGTTTGATCCAAGTCATTGTGTTCGTCTGAGCCTCGGAAATTTTAAACTCCGCTGGCAGGTGGACCAAACCAGGGCCAACCCCTCTACCGTATGTCGCCAATAAGAAGAGCAATAGAAATTTCCTCAACCATGCAGCGAATAGCAAGAGTTTCAATAGCCTGCTTTAAGTTGAGAAGATATCAGGTTTTCAGTTTTACAGGAGAAATACCAGCCTAGTACCTACAGCATTCCCAATTTAAAAGGGGGTGGGGGAGAGCAGAAGAATGACTAAATTTGAGATCCCTTCCTATCTCTCCACATCTTTCCCCAAAACAAACACTTAGCTTTACAAGCCTTTCCTAATAAGTTCACAAAAATAAGAGGAATGGAGGGATTTAGCCAAAAGCTGAATGAAAATGTACAATGAATCGTGATTGTCATAGAAATTTTCAGTAAGTCATTGGATGCTGAAGTCAAAGAATTAAACCGCTTATATGACTACAGGCATAGCTGTAGCTGTAGAATTTTAGGGAGGGGGGAGGGTTGTTCAGCTGCTGAGATACATCTGTTTTAATTATGGAAGAAAAAATGCAGGGAATAACTTGTGAAAAAGTTATCTGCTTTAATCATTTATCTATAATTTTCAACTATTTAACAGAAACTCAGTCGTGCAAATTTTTCATCAGAGATGCTTCTAACATCTAAATTGTTACACACACTACATAGATTAAAGGATTGATTCTGCATGTAGTTTGTGTTGATGAACTTCAAGTAAAAGATATGATTTTCAGTAAACTACAGTTTTCTGGCTCAATTGCAGTATTTCAGAGTTCTAGCCTCTCTGTTATTGGGTTTGGGACACAAATAAATATTTTATGTTCCTTCCCAGACTTCATAATCAAGGCCATCAGTCAGGTAGATGCATTCCAGAATATGTTTTAATCAAGCCTCATCTAGGAAACCATCTAAAGAGAGAAAACATGGATCTTCTGCATGAGGTCTTCCACATCAGGGAGAAAGTTGAATACCATCTCTTGTCCACAAGCCAGTAATTTTCATGTTATTTTTTGTTTTACTCTTAAAAAGAAATGACAAACATCGTCATACATTAGGTGACCCAATTCAAGGTTAGAACCATCATTTATGGAATCAAAGGAAAACAAAATTAAAACTCAACTCACTGATAAAACTACAAGTTTGTCCTAAATTTGGAGAACCACAAGGTCATGGCATAAGAATTGTCCCATGACATGTAATTATGAGAGGCTTGTGTTTCAGTCAAGCTTTCATTATAAAACCTTTACAAAGTTCAACATAGGCCTGATGAGAATAGCAGCTTACAGTTACAAATCTAGCTTGAACTTGGTCAATAAAAAAGCATTTATTGTTTAAATGCTCATCATTGTAACATAAAAATGGGGCATTTTTACTATGAGTCACAGATAGTAAAATTGCTACTTGATGCTAAAGATAATCTGGATTTATCTTTAGGTGTTCTACCATATGAAACATGCCCCCATCCATTTTTAGTTATTTTTCTGTAAACAGCCAACTGTTTCTGTTCTCAGAGGGAGACCCTCACACTTACCTACTGCCCCCTGAAGCTGGGAACGGGTGAGTCACCCCTTCTGCTCTTTTCTTGCTTTTGTAATAAGCAGAATAGAAAAAAATAAACTTTGATAACAAAGATATGGCATCTATGTATAAAAATCTGTTCCAGTAAAATACAGAACAAATATAAGCTCTTAAAGGAAAGCTTGGCTATATTCTTTTTTTTTTCAGTGTATTTCTTTATGACATTTTACTTTAAAATAGAGCCATTAGCCCTCTTAGCTAATTTTTAGAAGCCAATAAAGTCATAACACTATTACTGCTTTGTGTCGTCTGATCTGATACTTTTATAAGACATTACTTGTCCAAAGTATTTGAAAAATAAAGATCATCTTCTCATTAGGTCGTAGGTATAGTTTTTGACTGTTATCAAGATCCATCTGTGAGAAAGTTATGTGGGTAGTTTTACCAGTTTGCCAATTACTGTCACCTGAAGTGTTAATTAATCAAGTGTTGCGATTTGGGGAATTCTTTGACAGTACCCTGCAGTAATATGTCCAGATGGGAGCTTGGGGTGGAGTGAGACCTGCAAGGAGTAGAAAGGGAAGAGAAGATAGCTAAAGACCAAGACCAAGAGGGAAGGCTCTGAGATTCTCAGTGTTAGCTGTCTTCCCTTCCTATGCCTCTCTGTCTTACCAGTCTTCAGGCCTCAGGGTGTTTTACCAGGACAATAAAGAGTAAGACTATAAAAATACTCATTTCTTGCATTTGTGATACAATGTTTTACTCTGTATTATACTTTCTCTTGAGATTGCTAAGGTATGTTAGATAAGCCTTTGGGTTTTTTTTGTTGTTGTTGTTGTTTTTCTTTTCTTACCTAGACTGCACAGGGGATCTAAGAACAAATTTAAACCATAGAAAACTTTAAGAGGCTGTGTTTCTTCTCACTCAGCTTGTGCTCACAGAAAATGAAAAGGAGCATCTTATTCATTTTAGAAAAACCCTAGTGGTTAATTAAATAGGAACGTTGTTGGACTCAGATGACACGTTTTCAAAGAATGTCTCAGTCACAACAAACTGAGGTGATGCATGCTTCATACATTCCACCCACAGCACCACCCAGTAAAAGCTCCAGATCTTACAACAAAAGTGGACTGAGCGAGACTTGTGGAGTGTGGGTAACACCACTCCTTAATTTACTGCCAGCACTGTGGTCAAAAGAAGAAAGGCCTTCCCCTTCTCTGGCATTGACTAAAAGTCTGAAGCAATCCCAGTATCTACTGGCACAGAGTTCAAGGCCTAGGGCAGAGTCTCTAACCTGAGATTCTACTCCCTGTCGTGGAGAATATCAAAAAGCCAACAGCGTCAAAATATCCTTAAGAGTACTGGGAAGTCATACTTAATGGGTTTCAGTTTCTTTGGATCATTTTTTTAAATGTATAGAGCTGCTGCTTCTATAAATATTTTTGTTCAGCTTATAGGCATAATATGGAGGATGTCATAATAAAGCTAAAGAATGTTGACCTTGCCCATACATGGTAGAATTATATAGCAACTAAAGCTACTAAAGTTTTATCTGACCCATTTAATTCACCTATAATTTTATAGTTAGCTTGGACCTGTTTTACATAGTGAAATCATCTATTTTATTAACAACTTGAGCAAATTGTGTTTATGCCATACCTATTGCTGCCTACTGATCTATCAGCCAATCATTATCATCTATCTCTATTTCCTATAGATCCGAATATCTCACCTTTAAAGAGTGAAGACCCTTTAAACAGTATTTACCTAAGAATCTAATTAATATTTATAATCAGAGCTAACCACTTCCCTCAGAGACTTAGCAGACAATACTAAAAAGTAGGTCAGCAGCATCTAAGACTCCTTTATCCCTCTTTACAATCCCAGTCAAATCTCTGCCTTCATTATTTGTAATAGTGCACTTTATTTTCTTGTTCTTGCTTTCCTCAGGCCCAAATTCCTAATGAAAGAGAAGAGATGTCTTCACTAATCTTGGTCTGTTTCCCTGTAGCCATTACAGCTTGGCTTATAGGATGAACTATAAGTTCTTTTGGTGCTGTGTTGGTCTAAGTTTACAACTAGTTCTCTGAAAATATAGGCAGTTTTCATGATGTAAATACACCATGGCTGATATCAAGCTATCAATGAGAGTTGGCAAAAGTAGGCAGTAGCTAAACATTACATAGTGTTTCTGCCATGCAGATAAAATAGATGTAACTGTGCTATTCATAAATAACTAAACATATTAATCAAACATAGTCTGTGACATACAGTGGTAAAATTTAGTCTGATAATTTGAAAGTGATGAAATAGCTTGGTGATTTATTATCTTTTTTTTAGCCTCACTAATTTAAAGCTTGTGTGATATAATTTTTGAAATAATGGTTATATCCTGCAATGGGAAGTAGCTCCAGCAAACCTGTGTGGACGATAGCCGTACAACTGTGTTTCATATCCTCATTGGAGGATGTCCACTATTTTGGTTAAGTAAGGAATGACAACTCTAATACGGAAAATTAGTACAATTTTTTATCTCAGGGTTGGGCAGGGCCATAATCAGAAAAATGAGTCTCAAGGTCAGAAAGCCAAGACTAGGGAACTAAGACTAAACAACTATGTTGTATGTACCACAAACTGAATGGGCGTAGGTTAAAATAACAAGGATTTATTGTTTTACAGTTATGTAGGCTAGAAGTCCAAAATCAAGGTGCTACTAGGGCTATATGCTCTTGTTGATGTCTCTAGGCCAGGGAGGGCCACTCCTTGCCTCTTCCAGCTTCTAGCAGCTGAAAATGTTCCTTGGGTTATGGCAGCCTAACAAGTCACTGCACCCATCTTCAGAGAGCTGTTTTCAATTCTGGGTCTGGATCTAAATTTATCTGTAGTTAGAAGGATACCATATAAGATCAACAGCCTACCCTACTCATGCCTACCTTAATTTGGCATGTTATACCCTGTTTCCAAGTAAGAGCATATTTTTTTTTTTTTGGTGGTCTTTGGGCTTGAACTC